TTTGAGCTGTTCCCAGGAGAAGCCAAGGCAAATAGATAAGGCCACAGCGAGGGGGCAGTAGGACGAGAGGTTGGGAGAGGCATCGCTTGGGCTCAGAGGAGAGACACGCTCCAAGAAGGGGCACTTTACTCTCTACCTGGGGCCCTGGGGAGGCTTCCTGGAAGAGGTGTCACCAGTGCTGGGCCTTGGGAAGACCAGGCTGGCCATTGGAGGAGATGGTGGGGGAAGGGCTCACCAGGTGCATCAAAAGTCAGGGGGGTTGACCGTGTTGCTGCTGGATATTCATCACAGTAGCAACATTACAGTGATGAAGTAGCAATGAAAATAATTTTAGGTTGGGGGTCACAACATGAGGAACTGTATTTAAAGGGCCAGAAGGTTGAGAACCGCTGTCATAGGCTATCATGCTTGCTTGTGTTACAAAGGAACAGGCTGCATGAATGAAGCCTTTGTTTTTACTCCCTAACCCCCGGAGCTCTCAGAACTTTTGGGGGAGCATTATAGGCCATCATCTTGCTTGTGTTACAAAGGAACAGGCTGAATAAATGAAGCCTTTGTTTTTACTCCCTAACCCCCCGGAGCTCTCAGAACTTTTGGGGGAGCATTTGAAAGCCATTTTAATGATACCAGGACTCGCTACATTTCTTTTCTCGACAATTGCCAATACTTTGTGTTTGAAAAGTGATAATCTAGCCACACACCTAGGGCTGGCCTTGACTGGGTTAGAAAGCACAATGGAGCCCGGTTGGTGTGGCTCAGTGGTTGGGCCTTGGCTTATGCGATCCCCAGTGGGAAGCGTGTAGGAGGCAGCCAATCCATGATGCTCTCTCATCATTGATGTTTCTATCTCTCTCTTCCTCTCCCTGTTTGAAGTCAATAAAAATATATATTACATTAAAAAAGCAAGCACCATGGAAATGGGCATCAGATTGGGAATGCCGGTGACAGGGTACTCAGCTGCCCTGTCACCGGGCACAGACGGGGGCTGTGTCACTGTTAGAACGCTGCTTGGCAGAGCTCCCAGGACCAGAGTTGGAGGGTTGGGCAAGGAACGTGTGTTGTGTTAGCTCACAGAATCCCCTGGGCCTCCTTAATGTACCCCAGGGCCCAGGTGTCTCCCAGACCAATTGGTCCGAAACTGTGGCGGGTGGGAGGGGGCAGCCATCTGAAACTTCTAGTGCCCGGGGAACCTCAGGGCCAGCAGAGCCTCTCTAAATGCGTGCTGTTCTTTTTCATAATAAAGGTAAATAGAACACGTATGCTGATTAACACAGGTGTACACAGGGTGTGCGTGTGGGCACATGTGCCCGGGCACGTGGGGAGTTTGTGGCTGCTTATACATTTGGAGGAAGGCTAGATCCATGCTAGGTGGCATGTTCATGCCAGGTGTCATCTCTTCCTTGTGTTTCTCTCTTTGGTGACTAGAGCCTTATCAGACCAATAGTAGAGAGTAAATATTTGTTAAACCAATGGAAAGCGGACAGGAATACAGAGATGGGGGAAAGCATAAAAATATTCCTTCCGAGGGGCCTTCGTGGGGCTATAGGGCATAGAACAGTCAGGAATGAACTACCTGGCGGCCTCTAGGGACATCTACATCATTTGGAAATCTCTAGAAGAAAGCGGAGGGCTACTGCTTATCCTAGGAGCTCAGCTAGCTTGCCCAGGTTTTTGTTTCGTTTTATTTATTTCCTTTGGGTCCTCCCAGATGGGCTTTGTAAATAAATAGGCTCAAGTTGGGAGCGTGAAGGCATCGTGACTTCTGACTTTTACAGGATGCGAGGGCCCTGAAGTGCGACGGAGCAGGGAAAGGTATGCTTCCTGGGCAGAGGCAGGACGTTTCTGGAAGAAAAGGGGCCCAAGAAAACTTCTCTGCCAGTGATAAAAACTTCTCTAACCGTGTGATTAACGTTATCATACTGAATAAACGCTTATTAGACTCTTCGGGTTTAAATCCCTTGCACAGGTGTCTTTTTGCATCTGGTACAAACCTCCAGGGAGGGGCAGGGGTACCACGAGGCCAGAAGGGGCTTCCCCCGTGGTGTCCCCCGGGATTGACGCTGAGATTTTGTTTGGCACCTGCAGGTGAGCGTGCTGACCACCCTGGAGCGGAGGTTCAACCTGCAGAGCGCCGACGTGGGGGTGATCGCCAGCAGCTTCGAGATCGGGAACCTGGCGCTCATCCTCTTCGTCAGCTACTTCGGGGCACGCGGGCACCGGCCGCGCCTCATCGGCTGCGGGGGCATCGTCATGGCC